AAAAAAAAAAAAAAAAAAAAAAAAAAAATCAAATAGGGACTGGGTAAAATAAGGCTGAGACCTACTGACTGCATTCCCAGAAAGTTTGGCATTCTACGTCACAAGATGAGATAGAAGGTCCGAAACAAGATATAAGTCATAAAGACCTTGCTGCCGGGCGTGGTGGCTCAAGCCTGTAATCCCAGCACCTTGGGAGGCCAAGGCGGGTGGTTGACGAGGTCAAGAGATCGAGACCATCCTGGTCAACATGGTGAAACCCCGTCTCTACTAAAAATACAAAACATTAGCTGGGCATGGTGGCGCGTGCCTGTAATCCCAGCTACTCAGGAGGCTGAGGCAGGAGAATTGCCTGAACCCAGGAGGCGGAGGTTGTGGGGAGCTGAGATTGCGCCATTGCACTTCAGCCTGGGTAACATGAGTGAAAATTCGGCTCAAAAAAAAAAAAAAAAAAAAAAGACCTTGCTGATAAAACAGGTTGCAGTAAAGAAGGTGGCCAAAACCCACCAAAACCAAGGCCACAGGAGGAACCTCTGGTCATCCTCCCAGCTCATTATATGCTAATTATATATTAGCATGCTAAAAGACACTCCCACTGGCGCCATGACAGTTTACAAATATCATGGCAATGCCAGGAATTTACCCTATATGGTCGAACTCTCAGTTTCAGGAATTGCCCACCTCTTTTCCCAGAAAATTTATGCATAATCTACCCTCTGTTTAGCATATAATCAAGAAGTAACCATAAAAATGGGCAACCAAGCAGCCCTTGGGGCTGCTCAGCCTGTGGAGTAGCCATTCTTTTTTTTCTTTCTTTTTTTCTTTTTTTGTTTGTGACAAGGTTTCTCTCTTGTTGCCCAGGCTGGAGTGCAATGTCACGATGTCGGTTCACCACAACCTTCACCTGCCGGGTTCAAGCGATTCTCCTGCATCAGCTTCTGAATAGCTAGGATTACAGGCACTCACCACCACGACCGGCTAATGTTGAATTTTTAGTAGAGACGGGGTTTCTCCCTGTTGATCTGGCTGGTCTGGAACTCCCGACCTCAGGTCATCCACCCGCCTTGGTCTCCCAAAGAGCCAGGATTACAGGCGTGGGCCACCGTGCCCGGCCTCCTTTGTTTTGAGATGGAGTCTCGCTCTGTTGCCCTGGCACAATCTCGGCTCACTACAACCTCCGCCTCGCAGTTATCTGCCTCAGCCTCCCGAGTAGCTAGGATTACAGGCGCCATTCTTTCCTATTTATTTATTAATTTATTTATTTTTAAAGATGGGGTTTCACCATGATGGCCAGGCTGGTCTTGAACTCCTGACCTCAGGTGATCCACCCACCTCGGCCTCCCAAAGTGCTAGGATTACAGGCGTGAGCCACCGCGCCCGGCCCTTCTTTCTTTCTTTCTTTTTTTCTTGAGACGGAGTCTTGCTCTGTGGCCAGACTGAAGAGCAGTGGCTCGATCTCGGCTCACAGTAACCTTCGCCTCCTGGGTTCAAGCAATTCTCCTGCCTCAGCCTCCCGAGTAGCTGGGACTACAGGTGCACACCACCACGCCCAGCTAATTTTTGTATTTTTAGTAGAGACGGCGTTTCACTGTGTTGGCCAGGATGGTCTCGGTCTCTTGACCTCTTGATCTGCCCGCCTTGGCCTCCCAAAGCGCTGGGATTACAGGCGTGAGCCACCGCACCCGGCCTATTTCTTTACTTTCTTAATAAACTTGCTTTCACTCTATGGATTCCCCTCGAATTCTTTCTTGCAGGAAATCCAAGAACCCTCTCTTGGGGCGTAGATGGGGACCCCTTACTAGCTACTTCGGAGGCTGGGGCTGGAGGATCCTTTGAGCCCATGAGGTCAAAGGCTGCAGTGAGCTGTGTTCATGCCACTGCATTCCAGCCCGGGTGACAGAGCGAGACCTTGTTTCAAAAACGAACAACAACAAAAATCGTTAACCAAAGGAGAGTGACTGTGGAGAATTTGTAAAAAGCTTCATGACTTGGAGAGCACCACAAGAAGTGGGGGAAGGGCATTCCAGGCAGCGGGCCCAGAGGTCTGACAGCTCTTTTCAAGAAACCTAATTGTTAGCCGGGCGCGGTGGCTCACGCCTGTAATCCCAGCACTTTGGGAGGCCGAGGCGGGTGGATCACGAGGTCAAGAGATCGAGACCATCCTGGTCAAAATGGTGAAACCCCGTCTCTACTAAAAATACAAAACATTAGCTGGGCATGGTGGCGCGTGCCTGTAATCCCATCTACTCAGGAGGCTGAGGCAGGAGAATTGCCTCAACCCGGGAGGCGGAGGTTGCGGTGAGCCGAGATTGCGCCATTGCACTCCAGCCTGGGCAACAAGAGCGAAACTCCGACTCAAAAAAAGAAAAAAAAGAAAAAAAAAAGAAACCTGATTGTTGCCCACCGAGTACAAGACCAACACTTTCAGGTACGCGCAGTACATATTGTAACTCATTTTGCAAGGGAGCCCTGAGATGCTAAGTAACTTCCCCGAGGCCATCCAGCTGGTAAGATCCACTGGAACTGAAAAGGGAATCTAAGTCTGGTGGCCTCTCACACAAGTGGGCCCTCTGCCTCTTCCTTGCTCCCAGATGACATCCCCTGTCTCCCTGCCTCCTTTAACCCTTCTCCCTGAGCTGGCCCTTCCCAGCTAGCTTCCCCAATACTCTTTCTCGGAAGTTCTTCTGTGATTAACCATTAGGAAACTCATGAGCAAAGACAGGAGTCTAGAATTTCAGGGTCTCCCACTACCTGCTGGCTTTCTGCAACCTAAGCCCTGCGGAGGCCTGCGCTGCGGTCTCCACCCGGCTGCTGTGAGGCGCAAAAGAGCGTAAGTATTTAACCAAGTTCCTTCCTCCATCTTCAGGCCTGCCTCCCTTGGCGCCCGCGGCCAGCCACGCCCCGGCGCTAGAACCTGCTGCACCACCCAGCCTCAGGAGACAGGTCCCGCCGCGCAGGTGTGTCCCTCTTCCCCCCGGGGGCCGGGCAGCGGCTTCCGGGCTCTTCTGGCGCCGGCACTGAGCCGGGCGCCGCCCTGATGTTAGGCGACTTCACCCAGTCACGACCCGGGGTAGGAAGATAAAGGAGGGAGCCGTCCGCCCACCCGAGGGGCGGTCCCAGCACCCCAGTGGGGGACTGCTGCCTTCGCGCTGGGCCTCTGTGTACGTTCGGGAACCCAGGGTTCAATCTCTTTTCCCTGCCAATGACAAAAACCCCGCGCCCCGGGACCCCTTTCCGGAGCCGGAGTCGGCGGCCGTGCGCTGGTGGCGGGGCCGGGAGAGTTAATTCCAACTGCCTCCGAGAGATTCTGGGGACCCGAGCCCTGAGAGCGCCTCCCATTGGCCGCGGAGCCGGCTCGGCGCTGATTGGCTGAGGGTCTCGTCTGTGCCTCTCGGAGGCTCCCCATTGGCCCGCGCTCCAGTGGCTGGAGTGTGGCGGCCCGGCCTCCGCAGGTTACCCAAGGTTGAAGCTGCTGCGAGCTCCGGAGGCTGCATGGGGACGCTCATGCCTGGCCAGAGTCCCGACTTTCTCGGATCCAGATCTCGTTGCTGTCCCGAGGAAATCACCGGCTCTTCTCCCGGATCCTTTTCTTCTCTAACCTGCTGGCTTTCTTTCTCCTGCCTCCCTGGCTTCCATCTCCCAACTCCGCGGTTCCCTCCTCTACTCCCCTGCCCCCGTCGCCCACCATCCTGAGCCATTCCACCTGCAGCCTTCTGTCTTTTGCTCCTCCTTGACCTCAGATCCCTTGACAAGGAAGGCTCTGCTATAGCCTTCTCACCAGTCTCCCAAATTTTTCCCTCTTCCCTCCCTGCCAGCTCCTGACTCACAGATCCCACCTGACGTTTGACCACTTGACATTTGACCCTGAAACCCTTGACTGAAAACCTAAATTCTTACCTTCTGCAACCTGTACTGCTGAAACAGGTCTTCCCTTGTCTTCCAACCTCCCCTTTCTGCCACCCATCTTGACTTTCTTACTCTTGGGCCAGTTCCTGCTATAGCTATCCCACCATGGACTTCTTGATGAGTGGCCTGGCAGCCTGCGGCGCCTGTGTATTCACCAATCCCCTTGAGGTGGTGAAGACCAGGATGCAGTTGCAGGGAGAACTGAAGGCCCCTGGCACGTACCAGCGGCACTACCGAAATGTCTTCCATGCCTTCATCACCATCGGCAAGGTGGATGGCCTGGCCGCCCTGCAGAAAGGCCTGGCCCCTGCCCTCATATACCAGTTCCTGATGAATGGCATCCGACTGGGCACCTATGGGCTGGCTGAGGCTGGGGGCTACCTGCACACAGCCGAAGGCACCCACAGTCCTGCCCGCAGCGCAGCAGCTGGGGCCATGGCTGGGGTCATGGGAGCCTACTTGGGGAGCCCCATCTACATGGTAAGAAGAGGGCTCTTGCCTGGGACCTTCAGGGCAGATCCTTTGGTGTAGGATAGGAACCTGGTCTTTCCCAGGGGCATAGGTGGCAGGGTGCTGCTCCACTGCAATCAGGGAAAGGCATCAGGAAAGTGCTGTCAGGCTTTGGAGTCTTCTGATCTGTCCTATATACAGCCATCCGATGGACATAATTGAATGTATTGATTAAGATTGTGGGCTTTGGAATCAGCCTTTCTGAAACTAAAATCCTGGCTTTGAAAATTACTAAATGTTGAGCTTCAGTTGCCACATCTGTAAAATGGTGATCATTGTAGTGCCCTTTTTGTGTGATTATTGGGAGGACTGAGGGAGACAAATGAAGTACACATGAAAGCACTAGTGGGAATCCTGGCAGATAGTAAGCATTTGGTAGCATTGCTTTTATTATTATGTCTTGATGTTGAGGTTGGATTTGTACGGGGGAGGATAAGGAATTTAAATAACATACATCAGGTAGTGTAGGGATCGGGAAGATCCTGGGCATCACAGAATTACAATCTCACCGTCTGCCCCTTTGAGTTGTCTGGTATAAGTGAAGGGTCAAGAGCCTGAGGCTGCTAAGACTAGGCCCTGCTCAGTGCTCCTAAGAGCAAAAGAGCAGTAGTCTGTTCTGTAGCAGAAGCAGTCTGGTCTCATTCTCAGGGTGTGAGTTTCAGGGACAGTGGTCTCTCCAAAGTCAACCAGATACCCCCTATAGGGATTGGGGAATAAAGTGCAAGTTTTGCCCAAAATCTGATGGGTAGCCTGATAGAAGTGGTGGCTGGAGATCCAGCCTGGGAATGAGCTGGTATGACAGGCTGGACACCCAGGTCTTGTCTAACAGGAACAGTCTTAGAGGAAATATTACCACTCTCCAACCACTCCACCCCCCACTGCTAGCCCCAAGGGAAGGAGGATATGGAGGGGGTGGGGTGTCTTGTAGCGCTGGGAGATACATCCTCCCGGGGCTGGAGCCAAGAGACAGAGTCTCACGACCAATTTGTTAAGTGGGAACAGCAATCATTATCAGATTAAAAGGATATTCATTGCTGAACACCCTAGAGGAAGTGTGAGGGGGTCAGACATTTGGGTCTGAAGTAGAAGGATGGCCACTGGGGCAAAGGCTGTGATACTCTCTTGTTCCCAGGTGAAGACACATCTGCAGGCACAGGCAGCCTCAGAAATTGCTGTAGGGCACCAGTATAAGCATCAGGTGAGGGTTCCCAAGTCTGCCAAAGTCCCTGAGCATCCTCTCTCTTCCCCCTCTAGCATTCTGCCTGCACCCACGCTCCAACCCCAGCCACTGCTCTGCCCAACCCATCAGTTCCATCCCATTTTGCCCCTGGAGCCTACCCAGACCCTCTTTCCTTTTTTTTAGACAGAGCCTCTCTTGTTGTCCAGGGTGAAGTGCAGTGGATCTCAGCTCACTGAAACCTTCACCTCCTGGGTTCAAGCGATTCTGCCTCAGCCTCCCAAGTAGCTGGGACTGTAGGTGTGCACCACCATGCCCAGCTATTTCTTTTCTTTTCGAGACAGAGTCTCTCTCTGTCACCCAAGCTGGAGTATGGTGGTGCGATCATGGCTCACTGCAACTTCGGCTCACTGCAACTTCGGCTCACTGCAACCTCCGCCTCCCGGGTTCAAGTGATTCTCCTGCCTCAGTCTCCTGAGTAGCTGGGATTAGAGGCGTACACCAGCACGCCTGGCTAATTTTTGTATTTTTAGTAGAGATGAGGTTTCACCATGTTTGTCAGGCTGGTCTCGAACTCCTGACCTCAGGTGATCTGCCAACCTCGGCCTCCCAAACTGCTGCGATTACAGGTGTGAGCCATCGCGCCCGGCAATTTCCGTATTTTTAATAGAGACGGGGTTTCACAAGTTGGCCAAGCTGGTCTCAAACTCCTGACCTCAGGTGATCCACCTGCCTCGGCCTTCCAAAGTGCTGGGATTACAGGAGTGAGCCACTGTACCTGGTGCCTCTTTCCAACATGTACTCCAGTTCCTCTAATTTCCTGCCTGTTTCTCCTGGCCTGTGAATGTCCTTACTTCCATACATCCCGCCCCAGTTCTTGGGTGGCCAGGGAGGAACAATGGGGTGGCAAGACAACCAAGGGCCCACATTCTGGCTCTAAGCCCACACTGAACTGTTGTCTAGACACCAGGTTCCTGTTAAGGACCCATCCTTGGCAGTGTTAGGAGGTGGCAGCCCCTGATACTGGGGTGACTGAACCCCACCCCCTGGTCTTCCCCACACTAGGGCATGTTTCAAGCGCTAACCGAGATTGGCCAGAAACATGGTCTGGTGGGGTTGTGGCGTGGGGCTCTGGGCGGCCTGCCCCGAGTTATCATCGGTTCCTCCACCCAGCTGTGCACCTTCTCATCCACCAAGGACCTCCTGAGCCAGTGGGAGGTACTGCCTGGGAAATGGGTGGGTCTGTTTCGGGAAGGGGAGAATGGGAGGGCAAGCTGCACTGGGCCCTGGAGGGGATGGTGCCTAACATTCAAAGGTGAGGGAGTGGCAGGAGGGCTTGGAGGTCACTGACTCTAGACCCTTCCCTAAGTTCTCTTGTCACTTCTTCCCAGAAGGGGTACCTGAGCCTTCAGGGCACCCTGGCCTTCCTCCTTCTCAGTGTTTTTCCACTGTTATAAGTGGTGCAGTGGAAGCTCCCTGAGTTACCAGCATCTGTGTCCACAGGGCAGGGACTGTCCTGTCCTTGGGATGGAATGGTTGGCTGATTGACAATGCTCTTCCTCTCCACCCCCTTAGATCTTTCCTCCCCAGAGCTGGAAATTGGCTCTGGTGGCTGCCATGGTGAGTGGCATTGCAGTGGTTTTGGCCATGGCACCCTTTGATGTGGCCTGCACAAGGCTCTACAACCAGCCCACAAATGCACAAGGCAAGGTAAGGAAGTGCTCTGGGAGGCAGGCAGGGAAGCAGGGGATGGGGGTGGCAGATTGAGGGTGCCGGTGGGATAGCCTAAAACATAGCCCGCAGAGGCGTGGCCTCTGATGGGCTCTGACAAACTCCTTCTCTGTGCTCTCCCTCCCTTTCCGACGTGCTCTCAGGGCCTCATGTACCGGGGGATACTGGACGCTCTGCTGCAGACAGCTCGGACCGAGGGCATTTTTGGCATGTACAAGGGTATAGGTGCCTCCTACTTCCGCCTTGGCCCCCACACCATCCTCTCCCTCTTCTTCTGGGACCAGCTGCGCTCCCTCTATTACACATATGCTAAATAACAGCCTCTCTCGCACACTCCACCACATCAGCACTCCTTGGCCACTTGTGCCTCCACCACTATGTCTAGTAACTACTGATTAGGCGACCTTTCATCCATCCATGGGGGAAAGCCAACCCCACTCCCCGTCTGTTCTCAGGGTTCAATCACAAGAGATGAGTTTCCCTCCTTTCCTTGGGTGTTGCTTTAAACCTTCCCTACCCATGCCCTGTACGCTTCACACCCCTCTCTCAGGACTGAGCCAGTCATTCCAAAGTGTATTTCCTCCCTCTCTCCATTGTCACCCTTGAGTCCCTCCTGCTCCCATGCACAGCTTTAAACTCCTCC